TTATTCCTGAGATGTTCAGGTCCAAAAACCACAACCTCTGGGTTTAGAAGCAGAAAATTAAGAGTCATCCAGTTTGTATGTCTTTAAGACAAGATTGTAGTTTAAGTAACTGGTTAGATTCACCAGGTTTCATTGATAAATATAACTGAGTATCATCAGCAAAACAATGGAAATTTATCCCATGCTGTTTAAAGACTACCTGATGGAAGTAAAGAGGAGTGGTCCAAACACTGAACCCTGAGGAACACCATGACTAACTCTAGTGTAGATTCATCATTAATGTTAACAAACTTAAATATGACTTAACTATTAAATTATGTTGAAGTTTTCCTTTTTTCCTTTGCTTTGGAAATTTTTATTTGTCCGTGTTCTCAGTTTTTCCTCGGCTCCTTCAACCTCAGTAAACCTGTTCATCAGCTATCCTCGCACCTGTGCATTCACTAATCAACCCCACTGCATCCATCTCTCTGTTCAATCATTGTTCTTTCTTTGTTGTTGTTTTTTTTTTACTTTCTTTCCATTAAAGTCTGCGCATTGGTTCTTAAGATATTTTGTTAACAGACAAGCTAAACCCTCATGACTGCCTTTGAAACAAAAAGCAGTAGATCAGACAAGGGTTCAGTCTGGAGAGCTTTGAAAAGCTGAAGCTCTGAAGGCTTTCAGCTGTTCTGTGGAGCCGAAGTTTCTGATGTCCAGCCTCTCCAGCTTGTGAGTGGAGGGTTGAAAAATCAATACCTGTCTCCATTTGAAGTGAGGAGTTGAGATATATTTTTTTCTCCAAACCCCATAAGGACATTTGAGCCGCTGAAATGAAAACGCTCGCTCGATGATTGTGTTTGAAAAGATGCCACAGTGTGTCACTCCAAGGCGGATCGAGGACTCTAACTACAGCTCAGCCAAAACAACACACGTTCAGCTACATGTGGCCCAGTTTGTTTTAGCTTTGCTTAATTGTCTAAACCAAAACCAGCCAATTAAACATGGTGCATTGTTTGTAAAGTCTGTTTTCGAAGGATGATAAACAGCTGATTTTCTTCCAACACTGCTGCGTTTCATCCCAGTAATTTAGCTGCCATCCAACTCCCTAATGTTCATTTAATGGTTTGAACTAAGAGGCGTTTCCATAGGCCGCCCTCCAGCATTAAAATTTGATGCTTCTGCCCGAGCCAATGAGAACGTCCAGGAGTGGATTAAATATTAATGTGAGAGTATCTACCACCGCGTTAAGTAATTAGGTCCCTGTGGACGGTGAGGCAGGGAAAATCAATGAGCCACATGGTTTAATTTTTCATTTAATTGTTTGGAGTTTGGAGGGAAGAAAAGGAAGAGAGAAAAAAACTCAGGGAGAAACATGAGCCCTCTGATTTCAGCCATCGATCATATCCACATTCGTTAATATTTCTCCAATCAGTGCAGCCACCATCTAATTGTAGCTATTACTTATTAAAAGGTGGTCCAGCTCAGGGAGCTTTGTTTATGTTCCTGCAGCAGCTCTGGGTTTCACCTGAACATGAATTAATAATAAAAACATCCACTGCATTAAATGATCGTCGTTTTTCATTAATTTACCTCACTGTGTTTCAACTCATTAGATGAATTTCTTTTTTAAGCATCTAAACTTCTGCAGTGTGGATCCATTAGATTCATATTAGCTGTGGCTTATTTAGTGGGTTGTTCACTTATTCTTTTTTTTTTTTTTGTTAAATGAGTTCAAGTGAAGGGTTTATTCTGATCCTTCAAACATCATAGATCATCTCGTTTGACTGCAAATTAAAACATTAAAAGTTTTTATTGTGTTTTGTTTGTTTTCACATATTTTTGCCTTACTGTCAACAATTCCGGCTCATACGACCAATCTCTTTACTTTGACTTTTCATTTTAACAGACAGTAAGATTTTAATTAAATTTATTTGTCCTTTTTCATATATTATGTCTTTCTTTCTTGTTTTTATTTTATTTTATTGTCTGGGTTGACAGTGACTTTTTGGTCAATCTTWGTTAATTTAAATGATTTACACTGTAGGCTAGTTGTCATTAATGTATTCCTGAGTTTTATTATTCAGGATAATTCAGAAGTATTTCAACTTCAACACAGCACTATTGGTCTTTGTCAAGGAAAAATAAAACGCCATTTCTTTTTTATTTTTCTATATTTAGGCCTGTTTTCTGAAGATGACCTTCCTGTTTTGAGGTTTTAGGATGGAAAAATGAATTAATTTTACCTGAAAAAACATAAAGAAAATGCAAAAAAGTGGGAAAAAAAGCCAAAAAATATTTTAAGTCCCCCTCATGACAGTTTTTTTTAAACACATTGACTTGTTTAAATGCTTGTAACCAGTTTGATCATCATGAGTTAAATGAAAATAATGTAAAAATAAAAATAACACTTCTTTGTGAAAATGCAGTTTCAATGCTGAGAGCTGAAAACTGTGCTGAAGTTTACTGAAATAGCTGAACCTGGACTGGTAGCTAAAGTTAGCATGGCAGTAAAACAAAAGCAGCAAAACCTCATCTAAAGCAGCTAAAAGACCAAAGTGACAAAAGATCAGAAAAAACTTGTCTATAACTGAAAACCACAAAAATTAAAATTAGTGAATAAATCTGTTTTACAACTATCACTAACATTAAATCTATATCTACAACTGGCAGAGCGGTATTTAAAAGGTAAAACCAGCAAAACAATAGCTAAAAGCTAATACAGAAGGAAGTGGGACCAAAGGTTTCAAAGGATTTTTTTTTTATTTTAATGAAGTAAAAAATGTAGTTTTAAAATTTAAGAAGTATAAAACCCGAAATTTATGAAGTCCTGAAGGGTAAAATAAGGGAATGTTAACTGAAGTTACAGACCAAAACTTTAAAATGCTGACTCAACATCCAAACACTGCACCCTACATATAAAAAATGCACCGAGGGAGGGAGGGAGTGTGTGTGTGTGTGTGTGTG